AATCATATGGAAACATGCCCTAAAGCACAGATGTTTCTAACATGTCTTTTTCCAAAAAGTGAAATACACAAGGAACAACTTTTTCTTTGTCAGCCAAAAAGGGAAAGATAAAATATATACTCAACAGTAGTTTACTTCCTTAATTAAAACAAAAATTTTAGTGCCTAGATCTTAGTTTCTAAATATCATTGCCCCTTAAAAACAAACAAACAAACAAACAAACCTGGGACCCTGGAAGAAATGGCTGATTTTAGGGCTGGCAGGAAAAATGTAAGATGAACGTGGGACATCTTGTGCTAGAAAGTAGTGTTAGAAAAAATAATTAGGGCATACCAAAAGGAAGAAGGGTCACCTTGAAGTGGCTGACACTGGCCAAATCTGGGACATTTGAGCATTAAAATAAATAAGGAGGGTGAACTGGTAGAGTATGGGGGATATTTAGGGTAGTGAAATGCTTCTGTATAATGCTGTAATGGTAGATACATGACATTATGTTGCAGGTAGTTAGACAGGCATGAGAGGGACAGGAGAAGGCTCTTCCCCAACCCACCAGGAATGTCAGGTGATAGTTTGTGGGAATTCACTCAGGGTGGTGGCAAAAATATTAAGAGAAAATTATAGAGAAAGTTATAGGATATAGTCTCAAACCCTTTTGGAAGGCCTAAGGGTTTTGTCTATAGTTCTTGGCTGAAGGCAGCCAGAGTCTCTTTGCAGGAGCCAGAGAGATTAGGGCTCAAATACAAAGGAATGTGAGTAGTTTACCTAGCTAGCTTGTTTATTCATGTGGTCTTAAAATTAAACTTTGAGCCAGATGGCCTTCTTGCGGGGTGGGAGGGGAGCATCGACCAGGGAGATTACCCTCTAATGGTGTTTGCTTTGGGCATTGGAGCCTGGCTTTTAATCTGTCTCTACAAGTATGCTGACTTAAAGCCTGTTATTAAATCTATACTGAATAAATGGGAAGAAGGCAAGCTAGTCAGTGTCATGTAGCTGCAATCTCTCTCTGTGAGTGGCTCACAACCCCCTGCCCACACATTCACTGGAAATTTGTGTCCATTTATTCATCTGTCATGCAGCTGGGGCCTCTGGGACAGACCCCGGCAACGGTTCAACAATCACGTTGCCTGTCTAAAAATGATAATTCATCATCCAGCACCGAATTATCTCCTGATGGATCACAGCTATTACATTAAAGTGTTAATTGAATGCAGGCGCCAGAGAGAAGCAAAAGGGGCTTCCAATAAAACCTTCAGTATTGGGTGAGTGAGCCTGGGCATGCACATTGAGACAAAATGACAAAATATGACCTTCTGGGGGCACTCGGTTGGAAAAGGGAAGAAAGTCTCAGATGGGCATGTGTACAACTTCCTAAACTCATGCACATGCTCACTTCCCACGCATAAGGAGGGCACTGTGCATGCAGGCAGCCCACCCTAAGGGAAGAATCATGGGAAAGGGGTTCAAGACCCCAGAAGTGGGCCAGACTATTAGTCCTAGAATCACAGTTAAATGCTGCACTTGTCCTTCAAGTCACCCTTTTGGGTCTCTTCCAAGTGTACTTTCCTTTCTTTCCTTTTAAAATAAACTCCACTCCTGCTCTGAAACTTGCCTCAGTCTCTTTTTCTGCCTTATGCCCCTCAGTCGAATTCACTATGCAGGTAACTGAGATGCCTTCCAGTTGGCTTGATTTTTTTTTTTTTTTTAATCCCCAAATCAAAAAAATGTCCGTGACATGAAAGATAATGGCCAGGGAACTACAGCTAGTGCTCGACTTACGACCACGATTGGTCCCGACAGACCGGTCGTAACACGATTTGGTCGTAAGTTGAGTAGGCTATATGCACACGGAGATGGTAGTGCTGCCGGAAGCTGGTCTGCACTGTCATACGCCCAGCTGGGCAACGTTTGCGCCGCCAGACGCGGAGCAGTCGTGGCTAGCGATTGTGGTGGTAAAATCTAATGGTCGTAAGTTGCATAGGTCGTAAGTTGATCAATAGCTGTACTCTGGATAAAGAAAGCTAAAGAAGTTCAGGAAAACAAGTAAATAATATACATATATGATTTTGCATGTGTATTTGAAGAGGGAGTGCAGAGGTGGCATAATATTAATGATTTGCTGAATTTGAGCAAAGTATGGTATGTGGGAGTTCTCTTACTATTTTTGCAACTTGTCAATTTGAAAATTCTTTCCAAGCAAAAAGTAAAAAGGGGTCTGGGTGCAGTGGCTCACACCTGTAATCCCAGCACCTTGGGAGGCTGAGGTGGGCAGATTACTTGAGGACAGGAGTTCAAGACCAGCCTGGCCAACATGGCAAAACCCAGTCTCTACTAAAAACACAAAACAGGCAGACGTGGTGGCACACACCTGTAGTCAGAGCTACTTGGGAGGCTGAGGCAGGAGAATCGCTTGAACCCAGGAGGCAGAGATTGCAGAGAGCCGAGATCGTGCCATTGCACTCCAGCCTGGGCAACAGAGCGAGACTCTCCCCCAACAAAAAAACGTAAAAAAGAACATGCTGCATGGAAAAACTGCAAGTGCAACACCTCTTCTAGACCGTTTTGACAGAATAAAGGAGAGAAAGGAGGTCCTGGGTTAAGGTTATAGAGCTAGCACCACGGGGGATAATTCATGTCTTAACCATAAACAAATTATTACAGCAAAGAAGTTGAAACTAAAGTACATAAAGTACTTACCACAGGGTGTCACAGCTGTGGCAAATTTTATTAGCATATCCCAATTTTATTAAAATACAATTCAATGTTTATAAACATTTATTAAGATAGGGAAGACTATGAAAATCTTTCTGCCATGCAAATTACTGTCAATTTAAAAATAAATTATGCATTTTTGTGAAGATACTTACTGACCTTTTTTTTCTTTAACAAGCAGCTCAAACAAGCATGTTTATGTAGCAGATATTGAAAAACAAAACCACTGAATCCTTTAAAATTACTTTTAATATGAAAAGGGAAAGTCAAAAGAAACTTTGCATTTTTAAACATATTTAGAAATATATTCATTTGGGTGTAATTTTTTATTGCCGAAACAACTTTGTGCATCTACAAAAACTCTAGCTGATCACTAAAGAAAGTCGGGGGGCAGTTACTTCGGTGGCTGAGGTGGGAGGATCACTTGAGCCTAGGAGATTGTGGCTGCAGAGATTTATGATCACACCACTGCACTCCAGCCTGGGTAACACAGCAAGAGGAGATGGGAAAGAATGGAGATGGGAGGGGGAAGAGGGGAAAGGAGAGAGAGAGAGAAAGAAAGAAAAAAAGGAAAAAAAGAAAAGGAGGAGAGGAAATTGCCAATGTGTTTAAAAATCTAATGAAACGTTTTAGTCATTTGAGTTGACTGTACTAAATATAGAAATACATCCTATTTCAACCAGTTTGCAAGAACTTTTGGAAAGCAGGACATGGACATTTTAATTTAAGCATGTAGAGTCGTTGGAAAGGCTTTTAAAATAAGTATGATTTATTATCACAACCAGGAATCTGCCTGTTCCCTTTGGATCCACGTTATCTTCATGGGTGTTTTTTCCACCTTTGATGTTGTTAAAACTAAGTACTGACACACTCAGACTCAAACCCCCAAATCGCTGAATCATAGTGGTAATTCAAGGTTTTTAAAACAATTCCTAACAACTGGATAGATTTCCTAAAAATCATTATTCACTGAAGCTGGGCGAATTTCATGATACGCAAATTATACTTCTAAGATGTTTTTAAAATAGGCATATTCCCCCTGGGCTTGGTGGCTCACACCTTCAATCCCAGCACTTTGGGAGGTCGAGGCGGGCAGATCACTTGAGGTACGGAGTTCGAGATCAGCCTGGGTAACATAGGAGAAATCTCATGTCTACTAAATACACAAAAATTAGCCAGGCGTAGTAGCGCACGCCTGTAATCTCAGCTACTCAGGAGGCTGAGGCAGGAGAATCCCTTGAACCCAGGAGGAAGAGGTTGCAGTGAGCCGCGCCACTGAACTCCAACCTGGGCGACAGAGTGAGACTTTGACCCAAAAAAAAACCAACCAACCAACCATATTCCATTGCATTGTCCTTTACAAATATTCATTTAATTATATAATTGCTAATTAATAGCTTAGTTGTTATAACAACCAAGTATTTGATTCCTTGCACTATCTCATCATTTAAGTTTTATTTCGCATATTTTCATAATGCACGTTATCTATTATTGAGCAATTTAATTAAATAACCATTCGAACGGTGGGCTCGAATTGTTTACTAATGAAGCTCGGAGATGACACCACTGCACTCCAGCCTGGGTAACAGACCAAGAGGAGAGAGACGAAAAGAAAGAGGGGAGGAGGCTCTCCGGCCACTGGAAGGAAAAGAGGGCAAAACAGCCTAGCGACGGCTGTCTGGAGCCCCTCGGCCCAGGGCCGTGGCGGTTCTCTCGGACCATCGCGCCCCTCAGGCAGGTCGCCCCGAAAACGAGCACTCCACGGCCTCTGTCCCGCTCTCGCTCTGCACACAGGAAATGTCGGGTCCTCAACCACTTCCTCCTCCCAGCCTCATCAGGTTCCCAGGCCGCCGGGAATTCCCAACGCCACCTTCCAAGGCTCTAGGGTCAGCGAGCGCCCAAGAGCAAGGATGAAGAGCGCCGGGCAGCGATCGGGACCACACCCCCGCCCCTCAGCTGCAGACAAGGTGAAGAGACGCGGGAACTCCAAGCTCGACGGGTCTCCGCAGGCGCCTGCCCCGTTCCTGTGACGGTCACGGCCTCCCGTGAGGCGGGGTTTTCCCGCAAAGCGAGCATAAACTCCGCCAGAAGCGCCCCTAGCCGGAAACAGTAAGGAATGAGAGAAAGTAAAGTGCCTCCCATTTCGAAGGCGCGTGCGCAGAGAAGCGATGCGAGCCAGGAGGGGCGGCGCCTGCGCGATGGGGCGGTGAGGGCTAGACGGGGCGGTCGGGGCACAGAGGGGCGGTGACAGCTAGGAGGGGCAGCGCGTGCGCAGAGGGGCAGTGATAGCTAGGAGGGGCGGCGCCTGCGCGATGGGGCGGTGAGGGCTAGGCGGGGCGGCTGGGGCACAGAGGGGCAGCGCGTGCGCAGAGCGCAGATGTGACTTGGAAGATGTGAGCTAAGAGGAGCGGCGCGTGAGCGGAGATGTAACTGGTGGGACCTACGGCGGCTCGCGGAGGATGGTCGCCCTCCTGGGCGCGATGACCCTGGTGCTCGTCGCCGTGGCGCCATGGGTGTTGCCCGTAGCCGCAGGTGAGAGGCGGGGAGGAGAGTTTCGGCGTAGGGCCGGAGACAGGGTGCGCAACTGGGCTATGGGGGCGGCGATGGTGTTGGGGGCAACAGACGCCCAGTCTGGGAACCCTTTGGTCCTCTTTGCCCCGGTGGTTTGGGGTCCTTAGCCGCAGCGCTCAGATTAAACCCAACCTGGGCTCGAAAATCAAACAGGAGAAAGTAGTGTTGTGAGTCCTCCCTCGCCGCCTGCCTGCGACCGGCGTACTGGTCCTTGGGCGCGCCCGGGTCCCACCCCCAGGAATTGGCGGTGCCAGAGCTTTGTGTCGAGTGTGCTGCTTTCCGGCAAGGTACTGCAGCTCAAGTGGCATATTTGATAATAAACAAAACATTTCCTGAAACGCATTTCCTCAAGTTAACGGGCGCCCTGTCCCAAGGGAGAGTGAGCTAAGTGTGGCCAGGATTTCTCTGCCCTCAGGATTCTTACAGGCCAATAAAAATTGACAGCTGAAGGGAGTGAGTAACTGAGGCATCATTCTCAGTCCTCGAGGTTTACTAAGCCTGCTTCAGGGCGCATGCGGGAGAAACATGAGCTACAGACACATCTGTGACTGGTTTTCCAGAGAGGTTTTCAGGAGTTGGTAAGGCAAATAGTTCTGTAAGACTTAAGTTAGTGGGCAAGAAATCTGTATTATAAGTAAGATACCATGAGTGTCTTAAAGAGAAAAAGGGAGTAAAGGAAGAGTCAGTTATGCCGATGTCTCTGGGTAGGTGGATTCTTGACTTTGTTTTGGACCAGAGAAGATAAGCTTGTAATTGACATTGTCATTGTGGAAGGACTGAACTGGTTTTTCAGGTTAACTTTGGAATGCCGTTGGTTGAGAGGAGGGGTCCGTTCAGATGGTTGGGGGGCTTAGAATTTTATTTTTGGTTTACATAACTACCTACTTTTTTCCCCAAAGAGATAAGCATGTTCAAAACTCAATGAAATGTTATCTTAATTAGATTGTAATGTTGCTCAGTCTTTCAGATGTCATAAAAATATTCATACTTTTTAGTCGAGTAAATGCAGTTCTAGACCGAGACTGAGAAAACTATCCAAAATATGGGAAGACATTTATATATATATATATATATATATATATATTTTTTTTTTTTTTTTGAGACAGAGTCTCACTGTGTTGCCCAGGCTGGTGTGCAGAGACATGATCTCAGCTCACTGCAACCTCCACCTCCTGGGTTCAAGTGATTCTCCTGCCTCAGCCTCTCAAGTAGCTGGAATTACAGGTGCATGCCGCCACATCCAGCTGTTTTTTGTACTTTTAGTAGAGACGGGGTTTCACTATGTTGGCCAGGCTGGTCTCGAACTCCTCACCTCAAATGATCCACCCACCTTGGCTCCCCAAAGTGCTGGGATTACAGGCGTGAGCCACCGCACATGATCTGTTTATGCTTTAGACTTTAGTTTTAAGAACTAGACTTGAGTTGTAGACCTAAAGTTACAGTTGGCATGCCCTTATTTATGGGAGACCAGCAAAGAATTTACTTATCAATGATCTGTGACGGCAGCCTTTTGCAGATGGGTGAGGCTTTTTATCTGTCCTTGGGGATCTGGCTGTAGGATAATGCTAGTAACAGCCATTCATTTGGAAGGCCAAGTTGCAGTCACTCTGGGCTTAACCTTCCCTTTTGTGTAAGAAGTTTGGGAGAGGTCCTGAGATTTTTTTTTTTTCCTTTACAAAAATAATAAAATAAAAATACAAAGGCAGGGCATCACCAGGCTAAATTGCTGAAATTCTTCATACTTACCTGGAATGCATGAGAGAATATCAAGTATTATAAGGTTGATAGAGCGTGAGAGGTAATTTTGTAGTGAGGAGGAGTACCCAAAGAGAAACAGGAAGTCTTTTGTTTATGAAAAATTTGCATTAAACTCATGTTTGCTTTAATGTGAAAAGTTTTCCCAGAAAATGTATATAAAATTGACGTTCCAAGAGGGTGTGTATTAAGAAATTAATTTAAAATTAGGTTAGAAGAGAACTGGCAAAATATAATTTATAGGGATTTAGCATTTCTTAAGCTCTTAGCTGTGTGCCAGGCACTAATCTAAGTGTTTTAAAGGTATAAACTTGTTAAGCTTTCAGAGCCATGCAGATACTGTTATCCTTATTTAACAGACAAGGAAACTGAGCAACTGAGAGATCAGGTAACTTGCCTGAGGCTATATAGGCCAGTCAGGCTGAGTCCGAGTCGGGCCTCATAGCCCTGGGGCTCTTGATTTTGTTATGTGAATATTCTGTCCCTGTAAACAGCTGTCCATCTTTCAAATCACATCTGTTTAGTTCTACTATTAGAGCATGTGAAGTACAGATGGTCCCTCTCTTCTGATAGTTTGACTTCCAATTTTTTGAGTTTATGATGGATTTCTCAGGGTATTACATGTATTTTTGGTTGGTATTTTTAACTTAACAGCTTTACCATGATATAACACCATTGTAAGTCAAGAAGCATCTGTCTATCTCTGGACATACGATGTGAAATCAAATCGAGGCCATAAAACAGTTGAACCTCATCATAAGAGTGACTCATCAGTGTCACTTCTAAGACCAAGAAAAATTCTATTTTTATGCAGAGACCATTTGTTTTTTAATTAAAAGGTAACTGTTTTTTTTCAAAGAGGAAAAAAATCAACCTTTTTTTCAGCTCTCTCAGATGCAGAAATATAATCAGCGGCATCCCTGTGCTGGGAGTAATCATTAGGATTTTTTAGATTTTTTAAATATACTTCATTGTATTTCACTATATTCATTCTTTAATCAGGGATGTGAGGGATAGAATAACATTTAGAATATCTGTACTGTTTATATATAATGTTCTTATTTCTTGTTGCCTTTATAGGTGGGAAAAATCTAAAATCTTATCAAAAAGTAGAAGTCGACATCATAGATGACAACTTTATCCTGCAGTGGAACAGGAGTGATGAGTCTCTCAGGAGTGTGACGTTTTCATTTGATTATCAAAAGTATGTGACTCTGCTTACTGATTTGTCAGAATGACCTGAAAATTTTTACAATTTTAACACCATAATTTTCAGATTTGGAAAGTATGTGGTTTTTCTATTTTTTAGAAATGTTATGCCTATTTTACATAATATTTTTAACTTTGTTTCTATAGAGACTTAGTCAAATACACCTTTGGGTGCTGAAGCAAAAGAAATTGGGGATGAGGGTGGTAGACAGCATCTCCAACCCATAGCCATTCCTTCTTCTGGGTGTTCCAGCTTCTTTCAATATAAATTGAGGTCTGAATTAGGGTATATGTTGAGGATATGGGATAGTACTCCAAATGGCCCATCCAAATCCTTGGAATAGGCCACCAGGCTTCTTGTGGTCAGGCTTTCCTATTAGCTCCATGATATACTACATTTTAATTTTAGATACACTTTTTTTTTTTTTTTTTTTATGGAGTCTTGCTCTGTCACCGAGGCTAGAGTGCAGTGATGCAATCTTGGCTCACTGCAACCTTCACTTCCTGGGTTCAAGCAGTTCTCCTATCTCAGCATCTTGAATAGCTGGGATTACAGGCACATGCCAGCATGCCTGGCTAATTTTTGTATTTTTAGTAGAGACAGGGTTTCACCATGCGGGCCAGGCTGGTCTCAAACCCCTGACCTCAGGTGATTCCCTCACCTCAGCCTCTCAAAGTGCTGGGATTACAGGCTTGAGCCACCACCCTGACCTAGATACACTTTATAAATATATTGTTAACCAGGCGTGGTGGCCCATGCCTGTAATCCCAGCTACTAGGGAAGCTGAGACAGAAGAATCGCTTGAACCTGGGGGACAGAGGTTGCTGTGAGCCAAGTTCACACCACTGCATTCCAGCCTGGGAGACTGAGCAAAACTCCATCTCAAAAATAAATAAATAAGGCCAGGCGCGGTGGCTCACACCTACAATCCCAGCACTTTGGGAGCCTGAAGCATGCAGATCACAAGGTGAGGAGTTTGAGACCAGCCTGACCAATATGGTGAAACCCCGTCTCCACTAAAAATGCAAAAATTAGCCAGATGTGGTGGTACATGCCTGTACTCCCAGCTACTCGGGAGACTGAGGCAGGAATCACTGGAACCTGGGAGGCAGAGGTTGCAGTGAGCTGAGACTGCATCACTGCACTCTAGCCTAGGCAACAGAGCGAGACTCCATCTCAAAGAAAGAAAGAAGAGAGAGAGAAAAAAAAAGGAGGGAGGAAGGAAGGAAGGAAAGAAGGCAGGCAGGCAGGCAGGCAGGCAAGCCTGAACAATAGAGCGAGACTACGTCCAAATAAATTAATTAATCAATTAATTAAATTAAAAATCAATATTTTGGACCTTGCATTTCCAAAGACTCAGATTTTCTGGAATGTCAATGTCTCTTCTTTAGCACTTTCTGCTTAATAATTCAAGAGGAAAGGCAAACAGGAGGAGGAATATAGAAGGGAACGTAGATCAGGAAGTACAGTACCTTGCCTTCTGGTTAGGTGTTGAGGCCCCATCCTGCTAACCATATTCCCCTGTCCAAGAAAAAGCAGGCAATGAAGAAATAAGGCATTAGGCCCTCCTGAACCAGGATCTCACCACTTCAGCCACAGTTGTGACACTACTGTTCTCGAGTTGTAACTAAAACTGGGATATGAATCTCACAGCTTCAGTAATTGTGTACGTGTATGTATATGTATACATACATATAGACACACTGTATATATACGTATATACGTATACAGTATGTGTATATACGTGTATATACATACATACACATGTATGTATGTATATATATACACACACACAAATGCATATATGACTTTTCTCAGAATTGATGAGTTACAAATTTTTCTCTCTAGAGATTTTCATTAAATTGAACTTTGAGTTTTGTTACCAGTTTTGTCTTTTCCCTTAGTTTGGAATTTCCTTATGAACAACTATTTTAAGTAGAGAAGAAATTATTTTAGATTACCCTTATTTAAAGTTACTTGTATAAAGAAAATATTTGCAAAATATATATCCAGCAAGAGCTTAATATCAAAGAAGCTCATACAATCAACAACAAAATCCATCAAAAGGTAGCCAAAAGATATGAAAAGACATTTTTCAAAAGAAAACATCCAATGACCAACAGGTATATGAAAAAATGGTCAACATCACTAATCACCAGAGAAGTGCAGACTAAACCCTCTGTGAGATATTGTCTCCCCTAGATTAGAATGGCTGTTATTAAAAAGTAAAAAAAGGCCAGACATGGTAACTCGCATCTGTAATTCTAGCACTTTGGGAGGCCAAGGCGGGTGGATCACCTGAGGTCAGGAGTTCAAGACCAGCCTGACCAACATGGTGAAACCCTGTCTCTACTAAAATACAAAAATTAGCTGGGCATGGCGGCAGGCGCCTGTAATCCCAGCTACTTGGGAGACCGAGACAGGAGAATCCCTTGAACCCGGGAGGCGGAGGTTGCAGTGAGCCAAGATCGTGCCATTGCACTCCAGCCTGGGTGACAGAGCAAGACTCCGCCTCAAAAAAAAATTGGTGAGAATGGGGAATTAAGGGAATTCTTATACACCGTTGGGGGGAATGTAAATTAATACAACTTATATGGAAAGCAGTATGAAGATTTCCCAAATAACTAAAAATACAACTATCATTCCATCCAGCTATCACACTACTATCTACCCCAATGAAAAGAAATTATTATACTAAAAACAAACTGGTACTCATGTTCATCACAGCACTATTTATAGTAGCAAAGATATGAAATCAACCTAAGGTTCCATCAGTGGATGACTGAAGAAAGAAAATGTGTTGTGTGTATGTGTGTGTGTGTGTGTGTGTGTGTGTGTCTATATATATGTAAAATAATATATTTTATATATATATATACATATATATATATATATATATATATGCAATGAGAATATTATTCAGCCATAAAGAGGAATGAAAGCATGTCTTTTGTAGCAACATGATGGAACTGGTGTCCATTAAGTGAAACAGGTCAGACACAGAAAGATAGTATCATACCTTCTTTAAGTGGGAGCTAAATAATGTATACATATGGCTGTGGAATGAAGAATGATAGCCATTGGAGACTTGGAAGGGTGAGGGGGTGGGAGGGATGGAGGATGAGAAATTACTTAATGGGTACAATGTATGTCATTTGATGGATACCCTAAAAGCCCTGACTTCAACACTACATAATCTGTACATGTAACAAAACTGCACCTGTATCCCATAAATTTATACAAATACATACTTTTAAAAATAAAGCATAAAAAATTTTAAACATAAAGTTACCCTTATAATAAAGAAAACCTACAATGTTCTCATACTTCTGTTCTGTCATACGTTATTGCTTATACTAAATTCTTCGGTCCATGATAATCTTCTGCCCTCCATTCTGACTTTAGCATTGAATGCCACATTTCAGTGTGTTCTTATTTTATTTTGTTCCACCAGCTTTATAGACAATTACCTTGCAAAAATATGGCAGACTACAAGTTTGTAGCATTGTGGTATGAACTTGAGGCTGGTTGCCTTTAAATCCATCCTCTGCTAATTATTCTCTGTGTCTCAATTTCCTTATCTGTTAAATTGAGTTGATAACTAATATGGCAACATACAATTTAGCAGTCACACCAGGATACTTTTGAGAGTAAAAAGAGCCCTTTAAATTTTAGATAAGCTGGAAGAACAAGCTTAAACCAGAAGTGCCCCAGGCATACTGGGATGGCAAACCCCAGAAATAAGATATCTAATGAAGAAGGTTCTTCTGAGTATTGAGTAATTTTATATAAAGTTCTCAGGAAAATGACACAGAGTAAGTGATCAATTTAAATGTAATGAATGTCAGCAGCAGACAGGTATTTTTTAACATAATATTTCTTAGAATATAGCACATTTACCATCAGTAGTGAAACACAGATGAATAAACTGTTACAATTCCAGTGCCTATAGAACATACGTGACCTAAAATATCAGTGTTTATAACTTATATCTAAAATGTCTAATGTTTGTGATGTGAGGCATTCATTCTTTCATTCAACAAACATTTATTGGGTGCAATGGCTCACACCTGTAATCCAGGACTTTGGGAGGCCAAGACTGGAGGATCACTTGAGGTCAGGATTTTGAGACCAACCCCTACAACAAGATGAAACCCCGGCTCTACTAAAAATACAAAAATTAGCCAGGTATGGTGGTGCATGCCTGTAATCCCTGCTACTTGGGAGGCTAAGGCAGGAGAATCACTTGAGCCCAGGAGGCAGAGTTCGCAATGAGCTGAGATCGTGCCACTGCACTGCATTCTGGCAACAAAGCAAGACTCTGTCTCAAAAAAAACAAAACAAAACCAATATTAACTGTATTTCATGCCAAGCTCTCTTCTGACTACTTAGGGATGCCTCAGTGAACGGGAGAAGGGAAGATGGCGTGAAGTTATATTATGAAATGGATTTCATGAAACAAATATTACATTGGTTACATATTCATATTTCAGATTATATTCTGTTCTGAGCTAATTATTACATGTGATAATGATTGTGTTTTTTTGGTGGTGGTGTTTGTTTTTTGAGTGGGAGTCTTACTCTGTTGCCCAGGCTGGAGTGCAGTGGTGCATCTCAGCTCACTGCAACCTCCACCTCCCGGGTCCAACTGATTCTCCTGCCTCAGTCTCCAGAGTAGCTGGGATTACAGGCACCCACTACCATGCCCAGCTAATTTTTGTATTTTAGTAGAGATGGGGTTTCACATATTGGCCAGGCTGGTCTTGAACTCCTGACTTCAGGTGATCCGCCCACCTCAGCCTCCCAAAGTGCTGGGATTACAGGCATGAGCCATCGTGCCCAGCCAGATCTGTGTGTGTGTGTGTGTGTGTGTGTGTGTGTGTGTGTGTGTAAGAAAATATAAAAGTAGCTACTGCTGCAATATCTTGATTAGGTGTGAAAAC